AATTATCTTTCTTTGTTAAGTATTTGCACGGATTGATTGTGTTTTATGTAAATAGAAACTATTTCTTCAAGATTTAATTTGAGTTTTAATTTTTTTGGTTTGAACCCGAATGAATGTTTAGATTATTCTTTCGAGTTAAAAACGACTGTAAAGGGTAGAGTATGAACCGACTAGAAATATTTGAAGATAGTAAAATTGGTATCGTTATACAGTTACGTAACAAAACAATCAATCACAACCAGCATCTTGATTATGTGATTAAGCAGTTTGCTTGAAGCCGCGCCGGCCCACGCGCTCCTCCGCCGTCGGCTCCCATAGCTTTCGGATAATAACCAAATATAATTCCTGATGTCAACGTCCATTACCGTCCCATAATACAGCCGGAGAGAACATTGTTCGCGGCATGCTTTACGAGTTTAGAAGGGGACGTCGCAAATCAACGTTATACAGTCGACATAAAACCCGTAGAATGCGTTTCGGGATCATAGATCTGGTGTTCGGTTAAATGCCAACTGCAACTGTATTTATAGTGTTTCGGCCGCATGCCGACCGCGAGTGAGTCACCCGGCCACACGTCTGCCGGGACACCCGCCACACAAATCGACACGCCTACATAATATAAAATCTATGTCAAATTGAGTTCACAGTAAACAATGACACTCAAACAATAGTCGCGAATTTGACGACCTGATGGTACCAATAGAAAGCAATCAAGGTTGTAATTATTGTTTAATTGCAATGCTTTAAAATTGATCGATATTGACGTGGCCGATTTTAGCTAATGTCGATTTTCTAGACTTCTGGGTCATGCGCAACTTAACAATATTGTTTACTAATACACCTGTCAAAAGTGGGCTCCGTAAGAGAAACTTGAATTAGCGCGTGAACTGTGCTGACATTTTGAATCGAGAGAAAGGTTCATTGTAGTTATTTTTTTTGGAAAATGAATATAGTTGTAGCGATTATCCGGTGATCGAGCGAAAGGAGTTTAATTAAGTGCGGTTTACAGATATAAGGTGGATTTAAGAACATGTAAGCGACCCGCTTTGGCTCCAATTACCGAGGCCGTCGCGTCGTCGATTGTGATCGCAGCGGTGATAGCTTTAATTAATATTTACCTCGTGCTACCGTTTTCAGTTCGAGTTGTCACCTCAAATGCCGTTACACCGACCCAATGTTATCCTTAACCTTGTTCAAAGATATAAGCGTGGATTTTATTATTTTATAGCCTTGCTTATCTTATTGTGAATAAAAATTAAACTTCACCTCGTTAGTTTTTAAAAGGTCAACTTTGTCGTAAATGAAAGTGATAAATTACTCAAAAATGAATCGCAAATTGCGTGCAAACATTATAAATTTTCTTTTCTCGATAAAGTTACTGAAAAATTTATTTGCACGCAAGCAAATCACGTGCTTAGCAGTAATTTATTGCGGACATTAAAAAAAGAAGCGTCCAGTTTTCGACATCGTATCGCGAAAGGTCGCGTGCCGGAGACTGTTTAAATCTTTGAATCTCATTTAAATTTGGGACGCGTTATACAACAGATTCAACGTAAGGATATATCTGTCATCGAACAATCGTAAATGCCGCCCATTTGTACTTAGTCTAGGAAAATTGTAGAGTTGCGAAACTAAATATCATTAATTCACGATACCGGTTAAGCGTGATTGACCGTATATTAACAGATATAAAAGTAGCACTAAATGACACATTTATTGGATCAAGATGTTAAAATGTAACAGGTCAATTTTGTTTTCCGATATCCATTTAGCATAGAAAGTTTTAAAATGGGCGGTATCCGCGATTTGTTGGTAACACATTGGTTCCTATAAGATCTCCTTCTCTTGCTGTTACAACATTTATTAAGCCAAATTCGATCGTCGTGTTCACGTCACCGAGTGAATAATGTTCACGTGGCTCACCTTGAATTGGTCGAAACCTTATCAGTGGTGAAAGTACTTGTTAGTATAATTGGGGTATAATATAACATGAAATGTATCGCTCGCTCGATTTGCGTGTTTTGATAAGTGCAATTTACATATTACGTTAAACACATATTTGGTTTAAATATTGTTCAGGGATAGTGTAAAAAACTAAAAATCGATTTACATTACGCCAACACCCCACTTAACCCCATGATGCTTTTTCAAGTCTTAATAATTGAATTGAAATTAGATGAAAATAAATGGGGAAATATAGTAATTCAGTTTCATAGACGAATAACTGAAATCCCTATACCTTTAGTTTATGATGACACATAAAAAATATTGTTTCTATAAAGCTATTTTTTAATTGTGTTGTAAATGATTAAATGTTTATTTTAGATTTAAACTTTTATTCTGCTTGTACTGTGAGGATTTATTTTTTTAATCAACAACCAAACTTAGACATAAAAATCTTTATAATTCAAAGTAATCTTAGATTTTATACCGCTTTTTATGTTGGAATTTCGCTTTATCTATGAGACGGCTTATGTAATTCTCTCGGATAATTAATATGTATGTATTAAGATAAGCCTGTTGAAATTTAATTGACATTAATTTCGATTTACGTAACATTACGTGTATTGCTAAAAATTTTACACAATTTAGACAGTGTTTTATCAAGAAAGTTACGAACAGGACGTTAACCTGATGTCTTAACTAAATGTCCGTTTCTAACAAATTTTACGCTTGTCAGAAACTCGATAAAATGTTACGTCTTTAAGCCTTAATTCCACTAAACGTATCTCAAACTGATTTATAACCATTATTTCATTTAATACTTCACGATGACTTTTCCACGGTTGAATAGAATCCTAACCAAACAATATTAATGATAATGTACTTGACATATCAATAAATCGTCTAGAAGAGCTCGTTTTAAACATAAAAAGCGTTGTTTTCATCTATATCTACATATATCTACGAGTATACTATTGTTACAAAGACGAAAGATTAGTAATCTTTCTTCTTTCTTCTTCTTTTTGGATATTTGTATGTATTGAAATAACTCAAAAACTACTGGGCTGATTTCAAATTCTTTCATCATTAAAACCTACGTTATCGCTGAGTAACATTGACAATATTTTCTTAATTTCACGCGGACGAATTCGCGAACAGCTAGTAAAAATAAAAGAAACAAAGTTAAAAGGCAGCTTTTACATTTTTTATTAAGGTGATGTACGTAATACCTTTTATGATATCAAATGTAAGTCGATAATATTGCGAATTAAATTGTTGCAAGTACACGCAGGTAAAAGGAAAGTTCGACAGCCTCAAAAGATAACCAGGAATTCCCAATTAACACCACACGATTGTTTGCATAAAAGTTGAACGAATTCAATTCTCTTATGTGTTCTTTATTGATAAGTCGGCGGCAAGTAATCTCAGTTCATAAGCTCAATTAAAACTAAAATAAAAAATCAAAGTGTTATTGAAACTGTCCGTAAACAAATTTTGGATCGCCAGTTTATTAAAAAAACAAGACACACAGATAATACATTTATTATCAGGGTTATTCATATTAAAATATTTTAGTAAACTAAATGAACGTATATTTATCATAGTGACAAAAGTCTTAAAATGCGTTCAGTATTCCATTCTCTATAATAACTTTCGTAAACTAAATTTGCACTTATATTATTAAGAGAAAGATTTGTATTTTTGTACTTATTGAAATAACTCAAAAATACTGTGTCGATTTTAAAAATTCTTTCACCGTTAGAAAAGTAATTTATCTGTAAATAACACAGGTTATTTTTTTATTTTCACGCGGGCAAAGTCGCGAGCAACAGCTACTATAAAATAAAACAAGTACAGTCAAATAGCGTTAATATTTCTCTATTGTAATAGACGCTCGTAAACGGGAGCTAGTAAAGACGGCGCGACATATTTACTGGTCTGTCATGGAATATATTTCTCGAATCCGGATAAACTCAATAAAACAGCTGATGAGATGCCGCATAAAGATATCACTGGACTGAACTATATTCCTCTTTATGACCCACTATAAGATTATACTACTGTAATCAAAATTTTCATGCATTACCGTGATTATTACAAGCTTCAGTCTAGTTGTAAACAATTGAGTGAGTTTGTTTTAAAAATGGAAGTTTGTTTATTATTTCTTTGAATTCTTCCGCAGCTCTTAGTGGCTATTAAGCGTTCAATGTTAAGGTAAATAAAACTATTGAATTAGCATTCGTAATAGCTTGTTATTCGCGAATAGACAAAGGAAAGTTTTCGTTCTGTTAAAATAAATAATTAAAAATGGAATATCGTTACATTGAAGTTCAATTATTCATAAAATAATCTATTTAAATACTAACGCCGTAAGTAAGTAAGCATCGATCATCCGACAAAAAAAGTTATATCTTTCTGAAAGCTGAAAAAGTTGTAACTCTTACCGCCAAATGAGGTGTTATTGGAAGAATTGTTGGGACTATATCCCATTTCATTCTACTTAATGCTTGTATGACTCAAAAAGAATTAAGTGTGAATTATTATAAAGTTTCATTTAGCAGATTAAATTATTTAAAATTAGCATTTACATCTTCTCAACTGATACTAACAATGTTTTGTACAATTAGTGTTTAATTAGACTCTGGTCATGTCTTAAACAAACTCTGCTTTTCACTAATTGTGGCTTGTAGTTATAAATTTCATATAGTACAACCCTTGTAACACCTCGAGCTAATTGCTACTTTCTCTGGATCCAATTGAATTTCATTAGTTGTAACTGTGATAAAATTTAAACCATAGGAGTCGGCTGTTTCGCTTTCTATGATTAAAACATCTTGTTATACTGCACCCACGTCTAGACAGGCTGGACCTTTTTTGTGCACGTCTGAGGGTGCGGACTGAATTCGCCTTTCACATCTATCACAATTGAAAGAATGCTAACTGTTATATACGCACTTGTGACTTTTTTCAATTTACTTCATTGAACCAGGTTATAATAATAGCAAAAAGTGACATTTAATATCGTGTTTATTTATGTTTGTGTTTCATTGTTACAGCGGTGGTGGTGCGGTATTTGACGAAGCGGTACATCGGTGAATACAGTTCAACTGGCGGTGAGTGCTAACATGTACTATGCCCTTGTGTTTGGCATTCAATGTTGTTATTCGTGTTCCAAATTGTATGGGCATAATTATAAGTAATAAGCGACAGACAGATATTAATAGGTTCGATGATGGGCCCTCAGGGAGGGCTGCGTGTCTTGCCAAGCTCTGGATGCCAATGCACGAGTTTATTTGCGAATGTTGGCATCGCGGTCGGCGGGAGTGCCATGCCAAGGCTGACCGACGCCGGCGCCCGATAACATACGGACATTGACTTTAACAGAAAGCTGGAATTAAAACATAAAAACAAATGAATGAGATAGACACAATAATTAGGACTTATTGAACTCTAAAGTTGAATTCCAAAGTTTGACTGCCGTTCATTTCATAATTTGTGACAGGCAATGTAAATGTTATTTTGTTTCAGATTTCCTTTACCAACATCGAGTCGCGTTTGATGGTGCTACCTCAGAAGTAGAGGTGTTGGATACGTGTGGTTGTGCGGTAAATAACTTTATCAAATAACGTAATTCTTTTTCAGCTTTATTGCAGATTTTAAAAGAACTTTTTGTTCGATAGAAACGAGGATGTCTGGCGGAGCACTTGCGTTGGGGCGATGCATTCGCGGTGGTGTACTCAGTTTGTGACCGGCGCTCCTTCCTGGCTGCGGCTGAGCTTCTAGCTCTATTGGAGAGAACGAGACTGCCTGGCTGTGCAGCCGTCACACTGCTAGGGAATAAAAGGGACCTGGAACATGCGAGGTATGTCCCGAAAACTCTTTAAAACATAGATAAAGTGCACCTGTTCTTAGCCTAATAATCAGATGCCTACGAAGTATTAATATTTTGTTTCTTCATAGGTGTGTAAAAGCTGAAGAAGGTCAAGAGCTATCGTTGCGGTTCGGTTGCCAGTTCTACGAGGTGTCTGCGGCGGAGTCTTGCGCTGGCGCGGCGCTCGCTTTCCACGCGCTGTTGCGGGAAGCGCGCTCTCTGGCGCTACTGCTGCCCGCACCGCGTCGCAAACTCGCCGCTTACTCTGTCTCTAAGGTACGACCAATACTACCTACTAAGCGCACGTGTTTGTCGCTAGTCTTCCATGAGTTTGTCTTACATCGAAACATTTGAGTTCACTGATATTGAGCAGTAGATTCTCTGTCGCAAACACGTAGACTTCTTGGGTCACAGACTAAATGTCAGCGATGGATATATTTAAATGTTCCACAAAAAAAATATCATCAGGTTTAAAAAATTAAGGTCATCAATTTGTTCGAACGGTGCAGACATATTATTATACTTACTTATTTGTTTGTTACAGGTGATTGGGACGATTCTCGGATTGAGCAACAAGAGCGTAAGGAAGAAAAGACCATCTCTCAGCATATGATTCGGCTCTTGCTGATCGTCTACTGGATTTCGTTGTTCACTCCGCGATAGGAGTATCTTTTCTTTCTGCGCGATGCAGAATACTTTGTTGGAAAGCGGGCCGCGGCTTGGGAGTACGGAAATGACGTGAAGGAATCTCGGTATGAAGCTTTTGAAAGATGGCCAATTTCTACTTTGTATAATTCCTTTCCATTGTTATGAATACTATTGTATATTGTTATTTGTGTAAATAAAATAATTTGCTACGCATGTTTAATATATTAAATAGTTGAATACCACAGTGTGCCTTTACTACCAGTACTTTTTTAATTTTCAAGTATCTTATTAAAGAGATTTCATTGTTACTGAATTGTATTGTTATTATATTAGACTGATATATTAAGATAATTTTGAAATGAAAACGCAGATTCACTCTGGTTAAAAAATAATTTGGTAAAACAAATGGAGAAAGATTGTATTTTATAAGGGAAAAAAAAGGGAATTTACATTCAAGGAATAAAATTTAAGTGTGATACGAAGTTATATTGAAATATGGATTTAATGTGTACTTTAGAATACAATTGTTAAATGCAATACAATATTCCCTTGAGTTAGGTATTTGATTTTCACTTTGGAATTATTAAAACACTTGATTTATTCCTTTTTAGACCCTTCTATCTTACAAGATTACGGTAATGATATTGAATCAATCCTAAATTGTATAAGTTGGCATGTTCCTTTAGTATGAATAGTAGGATGTGTAAAGATCAAAGAGTAAACAAGGATCTAACATGTGATTAATATTCCTTGATTATTTCCTCATTTAATTTATTTCTTAATTTTATCCCACCTTGACTTATATCAGTCATATTACGTTTAAGATTTTGCTTTTTTTAATAATTCCGGATAAGTACCAATATTTGAATATTTTGAATTCAGATGTCTTTGAATTTTTTATATCATTCGAGTCAAATGGTATAATTTTGTTTTTTGTTAAAACAGTTTTTTATTTGTAAATACAACACGAATATTCAAATAAAATATTTTTTGACATTATGTTTTTGTTTCTATTCCTAATACGTAAACACCAAATTTTTAATACCAGATTCTATCAATTATTAAAAAAAAAATCTCAAAATGAACATGTTTTAAATTTAGTTAAGTAAAGATTTAAGATCTCGAATCCGCCTTTCCACAATTACTGTGTACCATAACTTAGTAAACATAATAACTAACATTGTAGCGAAAGCTTAACAATGTAGCTACCTATATTTAAAGAGGGAAATTACGATTCTAACATATTCCCCTGTTAAATTCCTATAATAACTTCCTATTCAATCCTACAAAACATTTACGTGAATAGATGAAAACAAAATAAGCAAAAACATTAACTAACGAAGTCCGCTTGCATGTAAGAACCAGGATACATTCACAGTAACGTAGACGTTAATTACCGGGGACTATTCCTATGTTGAGACGGGTACATGTCGCATCAGTGTGAATACACCCTAAGGCTGACCAGAAGGCATTTTACAGTTAAGGACCTTTATTTCCTACCCATTTCGATCACACAATATAATGAAGTCGAAACACGGTCATAGTTACGTAGTACTATAGTCTGATGTACGATATTCATTCTAAATGGGAAGCGTATTAACTTCTTCTATACAAATCTTCTAGCTTTGTCGTATCACAGGTGAGTTAGTGTGAGTAACCCCTTTCACCGGTTATAAAGATTCACTTTTCTAAACACTAACTTGGATGCGAAACCCGAGGTACTACAAATTATAATTACTTTCGATGTTATCAAAGAAATTGTCGAACCGCTGCCTTCTCCACCCACTTGCGTCTGATTTGTGTACACCGCGGTAACTCCCACCGCTCTTAGCTAACGAATTAACTAGTCATCGAGTAAAACCAATTAGGTTTGAATGCTAAAATTAATTAATGTGCGGATTAACTTAACAAGGCCTAGGCGAGTTGAAATTTAATTGAAATTTCTCTTAAAGAAAATAAAGACTTGGGATTATTTTGATTAATTCAAACCGTCTATGGTAGTAATTCTTTCTTTACACGTTTCAAATACAAATTTAAAACCTAACAATAATGTGTTATATAGAAATTATTGATATTGTTGTGAAAAATGATTAGCACGAATGAAAAATTAATTACATTATAATTTTCGAAGTAAATTGATATTCTAGAGAAGCCAATTTTCGAAATTGATGATAAATTAGAAATATTAAAGTCAGAGACAGGATAAATGTTGCGTAATTATCACTTAGTTGCGTTAACTCGTCTATCCCTGGGATTGATGGCGAACCACCCACTGGATTTCAACGAGAGAGATTTAAATTGCACCGCATTCATTCAACGTCCAGTCTACATCAGTGCGATCTCTGTGGGTGATAAATGCCTCCCTTTTCAAACTCTGTCTGCAGTAATGAACTGCTGTTTACAACAAACATAGCTCAAATAGACTTTGTATTTATACAAATAATTAACTTCGTTCGTTTTTATAAACACAATGTATCTTTAGAATGGCTCTTTCGTTTCGAATTGTTCGAAAAATTAGTTGAGATCCGATTTATAGCTGAAGTAAGAATAGCATAACAAAATTATGCGTTTCGCCAGATCACTACTTTTTTTTTAAATATAAGATGGCAAACGAGCAAGCGGCTACCTGAATCCGCCAAAATGGCGAAGCGACCGCTGCTCATAGACATCCGCAATTGCAGATGCGTTGCCTACCCTTAATCGACGGAGGAGGAGATGCAAACAAAGAAGATATTTCTCCTTCCTATGCGTCTCCTCCGCCGTCAAATCCACTTTCCATCCTTTTCCTATAAGAAAAGGGCCTCCGGCACCACACTTATTAGACGAAACGCGGAACCTCACGCCTGTCTTCTGCGTAGTCGTGGTATTGCACCGAGCGAGCCGACTCATTTGTGCGGAGTTGTTAAAGCGGGCTCTAACTGTCACTGTTCCGTTATTCTTTATGTTGGTTGTTCTTATCTCAAATTATAACGTAAATAATTATAACTAGGCATTATAATTGTAACTATTACTAATACGATTTTTCAATTTAAACATTAGTCTTTCCTGCCCTTCTCCCTGCTGAGAGTCTTCACTGTGTGTATTACTCTCCATACCTATCTATCAGATGTCATATTTGTTTGAACTTTACGCATATCTTTTCGGTCTTCAACACCAACAAACTAAATTAAACACATCGATAAATACATAATGTAAAGGCCATTTGAGATTAAACATATTTTACTAAAGATTGACATGTTTGAAACATTTATTAGACAAGTCTTGGAACTAAAGTAGCCTGGACATTCAGACGTGAACATTAATTTTATTGTTTTATAACGTAAATATTGTTTTCATAATAAACAACGGCCTTGTATACTATGAAGTGTTTTGACGTAAAATAGTTTGGGTCACGTACTCGTAAATGACGTATATATTTGTATGTCAAGGTACAATTTTGTATGAATACTGTGATAAAACGATTAATTAAAATAACATCTTCAAGTGATGCTTAATCCGTCTTAATGCAATAATTTCTGTCGTAAATGTACTTGATGTATTTCACTATTTTACATCTTTCTAAGCAGGAGAATAAAATACGTCATTACTCATAATTAATAAAAAAGTAGGTATCAGCTAACAAAAAAATCTGTCTAGGTTTCCTCATATTTGTGCAAAATTAGTAAAACCATTTCAGCATACGCAATGTAACTTATAAATAAGTTTATCTGTAATTTACGTAGAAGCTTCATTAGAATTGTAATGGTCTAATAGTGGTACTCTATAGAAAGACAGACATCAGACAACATCAGGCGCCTCCTATGACATGCGCTCGGGACGCAGCCGTATTATCCAACATTATGCAAACACGAGGTTACCGCCGCGAGTATCTCAAATTTCATCGTAAAACTTTTATGATGCATAAAAATTTAAGAACGAAATGCATTTTTGAAATTACTGTATTTAAAAAATTATATCCGTCGCTTAAATTTTAAAACTTTTGTAATAAGTTATTCAATTACGTATAATAGAAAAGATAGCTATTGTACAACAAAAATTCACATCCCACGTGAGTTCGTGATTGAATTCTAAATATCTCTGATAAACATATCAGAAATACTTTAATGCTCCGATTCGACGCTTATAGCATAATAAACATCGAAAATATGAATAATACTGCATTTCTGTACTGCTATTATGCAAATCGGTAATGTAATCGAATCACAACAAAATATTTCCACATTAGACTGAATATTCTATCATCCACATTACGTAGAGACTATTGTCTTAAATGGCGTTAACTTCCAGCATTGTGCACTTTTATCTATTAATATTACATTGCAATTTCAACCTTATTGTATATTAGACAGGTAATAGTTTTGCGTTTCAAGTAAACAGTGACGTATTACGTTTGTTTTTGTTTACTACATCGGCGCCAGTGAGGACGGTCTACCGGCCACGAACACGATGCGCTCATTGAAAATATCACATTATCATAATGCAATACATGCAACGTGAGAGATGCGGCCGTAATTCACATTAACTATTCCAATGTTACAGAATAAACATATTAAATCTTACATATATCAGCTTTTAATAATTTGGATGGAATTTATAATCCTAAGACGCTGTCGTGGCAGCGTCTACACGAACATTATAGTCTCTTAAATCTACGTCATAGTAAGAATGAGTTGAGAAATGAAACTTTTAAAACTTTAGGATCTGGACTTTACACAAGTGTCAAATATCTTCCTCTCAAAGGACTAGATAATTAAATAGACTACAGAACTAAGGTATTTAATAGACATACCAAAACTTGTAGTATTATTCTGGTATTAACTTATTAAGTAATATATTATTCTGGTATCTTTATGAACTCTGTTTAGGCAGTGATTTTACAGATCATATAAGAATGTTTTAAGATTTTTCAACTCGAGACCAACTATTTGGCAACGAAGGATCTATTCCTTTTGTTTTCGATTTACCAGATGGTTGTATTATGAAATCAGGGCATCTTCATTCGTATTGTTATGACTTCTAAACGCAAATTGCAACCGTTGTAATGAAACACCCGTTTGCTGGAACAGGGGAAGGTCGTCCAGGTGATTTAGTACACATAAATATTTATTGTTAGACCTGCAGACCTGCTGCTCTGGTTGGATATTTGAGTTGCGTAGGCGATGCTGCTTGTCAATTGTTTAAACTTCGTCGATTCGCTAAATAGCACTCCAATTGCATGGGAATCAGGTTGAACATCTTTAGGATAAGGACGGAAAGAGAAGATTAAAAAAAAAATAAAGTCTACACTATTTCGTGTAACTATCAAATTTTACAGAATTTTTCATACGCAGCGTACGTTACATTTCTTAAAACATATTTTCTTCATAAAAATGACTCAATTAATGCTTATCTTATCGCACTTATTTACCCGATTTTTTTGTTGTAATGATTTTCACTTAGTAAACTTAACACTTTATGTTCTTTGATAATTTAGTTATAAAGTAACTAATAAGACCGAAGCTCTCGGAAAAAAATGTCTTCTGTTTTTCAAAATAAATCGATCGAAATACAGGTGGAAATAATTTAAATGCTGTTTCGTTAGCATATTAAATTGACATTAAATTTTTGTTGCTGATCGTAAATGACGAGGTTTTATTAAGATTTCAAAAAGTGATACTGAATACCGTATAATTTAATTATTCTTCAATAAACAAATAAAATAATTGTACCTCCTATATTCCTGAACAATAAACGTCGGAATTATTGCTGTACTGGTCACGTAAAGAGTTGGGACTTGCAAAATCAAGTAACAAATATTTAAATCTTATCCCTATTCGAATATGGTTTTAAAACCGCCAATGTTTACAAAATGCTGGCACAAAAAAGTCGCCATACACGTGTCAACACTACAAATCACCATAGATTCAACGCTAACAAACTTATAAAGGCGACGAAATCCAATGTTTAAATATGTTGAAATATACATTGATAATTTAATTTAATTACAAATAAATAATTTAACTGATGTGAGTCATTGCAATGCTCGTGGCGAAATCTTGATATTTATTTGTGGACTAGGCCGGTCTGTTCTGCATCTGCAATAAATAATACTGACTAATATCGCGGTGCGAGGTGACAGTCTTATAAAAGGCACGCCACGTGTTTCTATTAGTGCTGGAAAAAGTGTCAAGTGATATTACAAAAGTCATTAAGCAATATGTTCCTAGAGTGTTGTGGGAAGCAATTAATAACACGTATTAAGGTGGGTTTCCATCGAGCTCGGTATTGCAGATCGACAGATGGACACTCCCGAAGACTATTGCTGTCTCTGTTCTTTAGTTAGGGAAGGAATGTGATAGCAATATGTTGAGAGAGTGGAGATTCCCCGTTACTAGTTGCTCAGTGCAGTCGATCCACGTCAGTCGCAGAAATAACTATCATGGAAACAGGCCCTTACTTTACAAGCCGAGTTCCTGCCTCAGCAGGTGACCGCGTGCGTGTTCCAGGAACGTGGAGTTACAGATTTGATGAGATTGCGATTACTTTAGACGTCGAATAGCGTAATAAGAGTGCGTGCATGTTGAAACTTCATACGACGAAAATAACTGCGAATGTGAGTGATTCGCAAATAAAGAATATTGGATAATTTATAATGTATCGACGCACTCTCTTTTAAAGTATTATTGATACAGAATTAGCAACGATTTCATTGTTAATCGGGCGATAACCCCTTCATCGATATTGTTACGATAGCGTATTTGGTCCAACGAGATTGTTATCAAAGTGAATTACATAATCGTCTGGCGCCAAACGATATTCCGCAAAATTGCTTTCAATCTGGAGACCGCCGAAGGGTTAGTAAACGTAAAATGTTTTATAGATATTAACCAATAAAATCGCTGACTTTTGTTGCAAGTGTAACATGTCTACCTTTTTTCTGTTATCAAAGATAACTTCCTTTTTATGCTTCGCTCCTTTGCTGATTCTTTTAAACGTCTGGCAGATAACTGACATGTTAAATTGCAATTTGTTTACTTCGAACAATAAGATTATTAATTAAGAAAACTGTGATCGCTCCCGCTGTCACTAAGAGCATGGAGTAAGAACAACAGAAGCCCACTAAATATAAACAATATGCTAACCGACACTGCGCATTCCTTTACCGTTGCTCGCTACCGTTCCCCGCGATTTATAGGATAACATATGACACGCTTGAGGACTTCGCAGAATTTTATATCGGGCTAATTTCTTTGTAACTGTTTACAGTTATGCGAGATTAAATGTTCGAGGTCACACCTCGGTTGTAAAAATAGAAAAATAATGAGCTTTCTTGACGGAATGTGCTGTCAAGAATGAGTCAGTAGATAGATGATAAACATAAATGAAGAATTGATTTTGGTAAGAATGATTCTAGTCTTGAAGTAATTACACATTTAAAGACAAACCAGTAACTGACACACGCAGTTAGTGGTCACTAAGGGAGTAATATGTGATATGTACACCGAAGGATTGTTAATCGTCTATGATAAATAACGGTTTAAAAGTAGTTTACATCCAGTACATTTGCACAAATTGTAAAATGTATTTATTGGCAATAAGAATACATTGGACATGGTATCCGGGTCAGAACGCGTTCGTTTGTCAACGCGAAAGGACGGCCAGTCTAAACTAGGAGCGTCCGAGTTGCCAGACATCGAGCCGGAGATCAAAGCCGGCGTGGGCTAATGGGCTACCGTCAACCGATCCTGTGGACCAACGTATAGCATTCCATCACGGTTACTGCCCCAATACACCAATGACCCGGCTAGGACTAGGATAGACTTAATTTATTTCAACCCGAATAGACAAGAGAGTAATGCTTTAACCGATTAAAAAAGAGATTTTCGCCTGCATATGTATGGTTTCAAGTTTATATTAACTACATCAGTGTATCTAATTTGTATATATTGAAGATTATCCATATTTCTATCTACGGATTCTTTTCCCTGGTCATTTTAAACGTAATATAGGGAGATAAAGTAATGCGCATAAGCACTCTAATACATACCAAGGAAGCGGTGGTATATGCATATTTTGCACATCGTTGAATTCCTAGCAAGAGCATTCCGACCAGTTTGCACCTCTAAAGCGGCCAGCAGCTCGTATCTGATTAAGTAAGAAACTTTATCTAATCATTAAGAACGGGTAGTGAAGCGCTAGGGGTCTTTCACCTGGACATTGCACTAAAGTGCATTCCTCCCAACGAAAACATATGCCAGAGATCAAAATCCAAATAACATATTTAAAAAAGTATTATCAGTTATTTATTTAATACGGATTGTATCTGCGGTTATTAAGATCGTGTATTACGGTAACGGACCATTTGGTTTGTTTGAGTGTCAGTTTGATATAAAAAATATGGTTCCGTATGTGAATTCGGTTACGGAACATTCGTATATTACTTTATTGAAGTTTTTAAATATGATATCTAATACCCTTTAAGTGAAAATCAGATAAGATTTCTCACTCGAATATTTTAAAATATTTCCTAATTTTATGAGTACAAATTATGCCGTTTTCTCGGGATAAAAATTTGTAATGCGATATGGAATTAGTAATATGATATTCAGGAAATGTAATAAAAAGATTAAATTCATAACTTCATTGCTTTTAATGGCACGAACAGTTTGTAAACATGATATTAAGAAACCGCTAACATCTAAACGAGCGTTTATAAACATTGACAAAACATCTGCTACCAATCTCATTATAATATTATACCAGGAGACCAGGACTTACACATGCATTTACAGATAATGTATTCCCGTTATTTTCTGACCTCTAACGTACATCCGTGGAGTAAGTCCCATTTTATAGAGTCAGAGTAATGACCTTGTTCTTGGATTGTTTTGTCTGACGAAGTTGTCCTGTATCCAATAATAAAGATACGATAACTTGTATAATTGTTTGTAATAAAATATAATATTTTGTAGGTTATGAGCGGGACTCGAGCAGTGGTCGTGTGGCAAGTGGCCGCACTCCATACTTGGCAACCGGTAGAATTCGCAGTAACACTATATACAGGAGAATCGCGTAATAATAAATAACAGCCGCTTTGTAATCGTTAGCCGCTTTATTTCGACTGGAAGATACGATTTCTGTATTTTTGGCAATCTCTAGAGATAGTGAAATTATTTGTCACAAACGATATTTTCAATTGTTTCACAGGCAATATTGACAGACAATGTTATGTTTGTTGTTATTACATAAGCATACACAAATTTGTATAATATTAGGTCACCTTTATTTACTATTCTATCAAAAAAAAGTACAATCTACAATCGTATTTTAAGGGATGACCTCATTAATGACTTTTTAGTTATTATACACATAAGACAAAACGATTAAAACGAAATAGACGTCTTTATACGAAGATAAATGAACGAAGACGAATATGAAATGACAAATGCTAAAGTTGTTACTCTTCGTCAGCTTGTGTCAAAAGCTCTCATGAGATGATAAACTGCCATGGATTGAAAAGGTGATACTGTGATATATGGATTACATTTCACGAACTCTTCAGAGGAATTTCCTAAAAATATCTACTAAAAGCGTTGGTAGCTCAAGGGTTATGCTTGACTTGTTACATGCTGGTCCTGGGATCGAATTCACTTGCATCAATGGTTTTTGGTGTGGTTTTTGTGTTTTGGTGGTTGACTATGGCCTAGTCACCCTAACTTTAGGGTAGGCTCCGAGCCCCTCGGTGGGGACGTATAGTGATCTGGTGATGATGATGATGATGATCAATGTGGTTTTAGAATTTCACATGCATATAAACCAAACTTCCTTACGGTAAAGAAATTCATCGTGATGCAACATCCAAGTCTGTGTGTACTCGACTAATACTTAGTCACCCCTAACATAAGGTGGGCTCGCATCCCTTCACTGTAGACATATATCAAGTATAAGACTAGTCCTGAAAATAGATCCCATACGGGTCCGACACTAGTCAGTGACACCGAAAGAACATTCATGAGAGACGTTCTTAATTAGATTTTGATAAAGTCTTACATATGTTTAAACAATTTAACTTATAATAGATGTCTTCGTAAACGAAAATGCTATAACGCACATACACGTTGCATGACTATTGATATAGGCATTACAAAGGCAAGCTTTTTATACTTGTCAAATGCTATTCATACATCAATATCGTTAAGATTCATATTATAAAAATTAAATTGGAAATTACAAGGCGCTGTCAGTGTAAGTAATGGTTTTACAAGGTTGTGATGTGACCCACATGTTTCGCAGATGGGATCGGAAGCTGTGTAAACTTGACCCCGACGAGTGAAAGTTTACAGTAGCCGTGGTCAATTTTTACAGTTCACAACGCAAGCCATTTGTCTTACGTCTTCGAAAGATTGAGTTTAAAAAGTGATTTCCTCCGACGTTGAAATGTCATTAATCAATTAATACTTGCGAGGGATATATTTTTAAATGATTATGAAAATTAAATCAACTAATTAAAAAAAAAATATTAACTTTCCATTTCATAGAATTACTGTTAATAAATTACAGTTTTGCCGTCGACCAGCGTCAATTTAAGAGGAAACTGGTTCATTTCCTTCCCTCCATCTATACCTTTCTGTCTATCATAGTATTCAGTTCTATCTACGGAAATACAACAGTATTTTTGTGGTTATTAACAATAATTAGTCGTAAATAGGTTCTGGTTTTCATCGTTTGCCAAAGCCCTTTGCCAAAAGATAGAATAAAGGTTGAGTATTAAAATATTGGCTATGGCAACAATATTATAATTTCAGTGTAACATTTATTAATTGCGTCTCATCTTTTATTTAATTATTTTCAAGTGTATTTAATGCTCACAGTTAATTCGCATCATATTCTTATCCTGTCTTATTATGGATGGATTGCAACGGCTCTTGAAATTCGATATCGGTGCTAAGAGGGGTCACGACCTTCAGAATTGAGGAAAATGACACAAAGTATTGGAGGTTAATATATGTGAATTAACGGTGTTGCAAGATCTTTTAAACCTTAAAAAAGAGGGAAACCGTTACCTCTCATAGCTTATAGGGGATAAGCAAAGGCAAACATAATTTATGTACTTTTCAATGAACTTATTTATGATGTTATTCGTAATAATGTTTATCAATTTATGAAGCGAAGAAGGCATCTTTATATAACCTGAAGGAATAAACCAAATTAAATGTTATAAATGCAGTTTGTTGTTATTTCTTAAAGTAAAAAAAATGTAGTGCTAAAAGACGGTTGAAATAAATATGTAACTTAATTTTCTAGCGAGGTCAGGATATTAACATAAACTGTTTGTCTTAAACTCGGTTGATTTTCTGTAAATCATAACATTTTCTATGTCACGATTTATTTAATGTCCCAGGGTGTGGTTACACAAGTCCGCACAATACTTCACTTGCTAATGTTATTTTAAAATAGTGATACGACATTAAGATAAGCATTTAGAGTTAATCTTTTGTTTTGCGACTCGTGTGGGAGTGAATGCCGAGTTAGATTGTAATTACTGGTCGAGTCTAGCATTTTTATCGATTGTTTCCTTTTACGAATAATCCATTCAGTACTATAAACGCAAGGAATCCGCGTAGGCGATGGAGAAACGGACTAGCTGAGAGTCCTACACATAATGTCATAACTCCTTTTTTAAGTTAAATAATTTTTTTAACTTTTCCCACTTTTTAAACACGATAGAAGACTATATTCCTGAAATTGATGAGTCACGTCTAAGTCATAATAATTTGGAATGGAATAATCACAGCTTAGTTCTATGTTATTAAATTACAATTTAATAGATGTCGTGATTTTTTTTTGTTACAAC